CCCCCCCCCGGCCCCTCCTTTAGAACAGGGAGGCAAGGGAGCAGGGGCTCGTTTTATCCAACTTACATTAATGTATAACAAAAATGATTGATCATACATAGATGTCTCTGTCAATCGTGATGATAGAGATAGAGTCACTTTTCAAAACCATTTTCACCTATCTGCTAGAGACTTCTGCGCCTGATCGCGCTACAAATACAACTCGACTTCCTTTCGGTGCTCATGCGATGTGTATTGGTCTGCTCTGTGCTCTGCCGCCCACGATTGCCACCGGGGCTGAGCTATTAGACACCTACCCTGCCAGTGACTGGAGGGGGTGGCGGGTGAAAAGGGTAAGGGGTCATGCAACGCCGCCGATCAATGTGACAGCAAAGGGCGAGATTGAGCGCAGTATTTATTGTGTCCAACTGTCCAGCTGTGAGGATAAATGACTAATCGCCCGGGCCATGCAGACAGACCGCAATCTGTTTTACCCCTGACAGATAGCGTTATTCGTTTAACCCCGGCAATGGAAAAACAGGGGTAAAAATGGGAAGAGGGTGGTGGCTTTCGCTAGTTGTACAGTACATTCCTAGGAACGTGACACCACCTAAAAGCTACACACTTGCTTGTGCGTGGTGGGGGAGTGGTGCGGGAGCTGCCACTCCCCGCTTGCGCTCCTCGCCTTCAGCCCCTGCAGCCAGTGCATAGGCAACCCGACGTACTATCATTTCTTAGCCTGGACCCCTGTAACATGGTCGACAGTTGGTTTACAGTGCAATTACACGTACGGCTGTTCTTTAGGTTACAACGGCGGCGGTGCTGAACAAGGCCGCCAAGAAGCAGCGCCTCCTGCTGTCGTCCGGGAAGCTGGGGGGCGCCATCGCCTGGTCCGAGACGCCCTCCACGCCCGACGACAGCCCGCCCAAGGCGGCCGGCGACACGTTCCTGCAGGGCTTCAGGCTCGCTGCCACCCTGGCGCAGGTGACCAACGAATCACTCAAAGTTTTCATTGACAACTCTTAAACTGTACAAAAGTAAATTTCCTTGTAAAATTTTCGAAAATTCAGCAAGAATGTTAACTTTTTAATCAAACAGAGCGATATCCACAACTACACCATGCTCTCTGCTCTCATGACAACTACGGTTGAATGCGAGGTTGACCGGTTCAAGCTCAGTACAGGCTGTCCGTGTCAACAGGTGTTCGGCTTGCTCCCGGTCAAGAAGCCCTCGGACGGCGAGAACGCGAGCTTCCGCTGGCTCTCGCTCCGTGTCGTGTACGCGCTCGTCATCATCACCGGCTCCGCCGTGCAGTCCGTCTTCTCGCTCATGAGGATGATCGAGCAGGGCATCAACTTCTACACGTCCGGTAAGGCAATAAGATGCGATTTCGTCTCGTTGTTTCAATACCAATATGGGAGTATGTTCATCACTCCCCCCTCCCCTTTCTTTTGCTTTTGCAATAGTTAACGTGGTCTTCTTCGTGACGGCGGCCATCACCTCGGTGCTGTTCCTCAAGCTCTCCACCTCCTGGGGCGACACGTTCTCGCTCTGGCTCACTCTGGAGCGCTTCGTCACGGCCGTCAACGGCCACCCCGCGCGCCTCGTGTCCAGGATGAAGGTCATGACGGTGGTCGTCCTCCTGCTGGCGGCATGTAATCATTCTTTATCACACTCTTTCATGATAATACCAATATCATTTACATAATCATTAATATTGTTGTTATTAATTTACTGTTTATGTTCCGTTGTCGTGTCTGTCAATGCAGTAGAGCACACGCTCTCCATCGCCACATCGCTCTCTTCCGTGAGCGTCTGCTACGACCGCGGGGGTCTCCCCCTCCTCGTCGAGGGATACTTCATGGCCAAGTACAGAAAGGTATGCGTCGTGGTCATCACTGTGAGCCGCCTGAAAGGTGGGTAGTTTGTGCAACCAATCCCCTGTATAGCAGGCAACCCACGGTGCATCGCCCATCGCCTCCCTATGTCAGCCAGACCTTTGCACCGCGCATGTCTTCTGTTGAAATGATTTGGAGATGCTGCTCATGCAACTATCTATTTCAGACGTTCACGATTATCAGTTATTCGCTTTGGAGAGGCATCCTCCTGTTCGCCCTCCAGGTCATCACGACCTTCATCTGGAACTTCGCGGACCTCTTTGTCATTCTCGTCTCGATGGGTCTGGCCGCGCATTTCCGACAGTTGAACGCGGCTCTCAGTCAGGCCAGAGGGAAAGTAAGAAGGCTTTCATGATAGTGTCGCAATAGTCACGGCAGGAACCGCACCTCATTTTCTTTCTTTATTTTAGATCAGACATGAGGGATTCTGGCGCACGAGGCGCGAGTCCTACAACGCCCTGGCTGTGCTGACGAGGGCCATCAACGACTACGTCGGCCCCGTGGTGCTCATATCCTACGCCTCGAACCTGTACTTCACCTGCCTTCAACTTCTCATAGTCACTAAGAGGTTTGGAAATGGCACATGTTCTAGTGTGACTTTAGGGAATGACGACATATGATCTGCAGCTGATTGTATCTTGCGTTTCTGCTTAGGAAGTCGACCACCAATTCGCTCTACAACTTCTACTTCTTCTTCTCGCTGCTGTATCTCATCGTCAGGACGGTCATCATATCGCTGCAGGCCGCCGACGTGTACCTGGAGAGCCAGAAGCCCCGCCCGGTGCTCTTCAGCGTCCCGTCACCCAGCTTCTGCCGCGAGGTGAGCGAACCGTTATCGGAACGATACCAATACAGGCAAGAAGTTGTGTTCGATCGCTTAAATCTCGTTTAAAGAACGTCTCTTGACATAAACTTGAGGTGCTCAAACGTTCCCCGCCTGGCGTAACGCGAGGTAAAGTTGGGCGACAAACGTCCTCTTGCCCGACGCAGCCGCACTTGGGCGCTCTAGGCGGGCCACCGCCTTCACACAGCTGCTTGGCGGGATGGCCTACCCAGCGTGTGACAGGCGCCTTACATGTTGTCTCGTGAAGCGTTGGTGTGGGGGACACCATGAGTCCTCCGTAGCCACAATGAGCTGCGATTGCACCCCCCCCCCCTACTCAACGTGTTATAAGTTTTAAATTGGCACAAAGCTTGGGGGATAATAGACCATTTCAGGTTAGGTGATCAGAAGAAGAAAAGAATAACAAACCGGAAAAGCATTGGCTTGTAATCGACCCCCACCCTCCACCCTCCGTCCCTCTTCGCCCCTCGCCCAACTGTTTCCTGTTTCAGTTATTCCTTTCTTCTTCTTCTTGTCACCGAAACTGAAATGGTCTATTTAATGATTCCATGACATAAGTGTCATCGATTTGACGAAGTTTGTGTTGAGCACGTCAGTCGCGAATGGGCCCTAATGCTTGAAAACTTGGTGGAATGAGCTCTGGGCCGGGCGGCGATACTCCACGCGTGGTCCTCCGCCGCGGAGTATCTGCGCTTGCGTTTGCGCCCCTGAGCACCTCCTCGGTCTCGGTCCCTCTCATGTGCCCTTGCCTCGCCCAGGTCCAGCGGTTCCTCCTGCAGGTCAACACGGACAACGTTGCGCTCACCGGCTGTGATTTCTTCTCCGTCACTCGTTCGTTCATGCTCACGGTAAGCCAGCTCACAGTCAGACATCAGAAATTTGTCGGTTTTCGTATCAGATTGATAAAAATGTGGTCCTGAAATTGACACGTTTCTGATAACTGATATCGTTCTGACATCAGTCTGACATTTCATTGCTCACTGGGGTTGTTGTATTACTACGACCCCCCTCACGCTCACCACTCACCCGCAGGTGGCCGGCACCATCATCACGTACATCGTGATCCTGGTGCAGTTCGACAGCAACGCCACGGGGGACGACACCCCCCACCCTAACAGGACCGTGTCCTGCACGTGCACCGACCTCAAGATTTACAACTGTTAATTCAAACAAATTTAAAAATGTTATGGCCGTACGACTCGGAGTCAATTTGTTTCGACAGTAATGATATGATGAATTTATTCTGTTTTGTTGTTTTTTTTCAATAAAGATTTTTTTTCATGTGCCTCACTTTCAACCGAACGCTGCAAAAACACTATTTTAGAACTTTTCGTCAAAAGTGATTGAAGTAAGAAACGACACGGATGCAGCAAATTTCTCCTTACTCGTTCCTTCCTTTGCGCTACGTGAATCAGAATAGACCATTCCACCGACTGTGGAAGAAGAAAGAAAAGAATCAATAACCACCGGAAACAGTATTGATAAACAGATCAAATCGTTCACTTTTTCTAGTTATCTTGGCCAAGATAATTATTCTGGACTTGTTGGTGTGCCATAGAGGTGTACACAAATGATCTACATACTGGTTTTCGGTACTGTTTCCGGTACTTTTTGATTCTTTTCTTTCTTCTTCCCCATTCGGTGGAATGGTCTATTTGTGTATTAGAGTTCAATAAGAACGTCAGCGCGTCTACCCTTTCCTCCCCCCTCACCCTACCGTCGAAGTCGAAAAGGTCTTTAAGCCTACTTCCACCAACTTTAGCCTTGTGTAGGCTACCAAAGGGTTAGGTGACCCAGGGGGTTGCCCGGATGTAAAGATCCGTACTCAGTACTATAGTCGAAAACTGTAGTTCAACTGTAGTCAAACTAAAGTTTAATTGCAGGTTCTATAGTTTTACTGCATTCCTGCGGGCAGGGAGCGGGCGAAACCGGGGAATCACGAGCAGCTCAGGCCTACAACTTCGCGCTTTTCCCGGCTTTTCCTGAAACTGCGCTTGTCAACAACAATCACGCCAGTTTTGTCATTCCCTGTCCCTCCCTCCCCCACCTGCCGGGCGGCACGCCGCCGCCTCCCGTCCTGTCCCGCTCCCGCCCCACCGCACCGCGTCCGCTGCCGCCTGCCGCTGCACTCGCCAGTCGCGCGCCGCCGAGCGGAGCGAACGCACGCCGTCCCGTGAGACCCGCGCCTTTCCAGCCGAGCCGAGCCGGTTCACGAGAACACGACGCGAAGCGGACGACTTTGCCTTGCTCTCGCGTTAGCGTCCCGTGCGGAAGGATATTCGACAACAAAAAACAGTAGTGGAGCTCGTGAGTGACAACTAACAGTTGGTTCTCCCAGACGCACGGCCGCCCGGTCGCCAAGTGATTTGTGCCGAACGTCTTCGCTTGTGTTGTGTGACGCTGTGTGTGTGTGGACGGTCTCCTCGGTGCGACTCGGAATAAAAACACGCCTCATCGTCAGTGCTGTATTAGTGTCTCGGATACCAGGATATTACCAACCTCAACCCACACGTGGATTACTCTGACTTTTCTTTGGCGAGGTGAGTTTCTCCAAACGTTAATCAAAGCTCGAACTTCGGATTGAACCGTGGACCGTCCCGTGTCCTCTGTGTCGCCCGCCAAACTGCAATACGCGAACTCTAACCTGACTCACCCACTTGTGGCGGCCACAAGGTGCCGGTTCCGGTGGAGTGGGCGGCGGGCGGGGGGGGCAGGGTGGTTCCGCTTGACACGACCGGACATGAAGGAGCGCCCGGCCCGGCTCATCAGATCTGGGCCGGAATGTCACCTCGATTGATCTGGCCGGGCCGAGCCAGGAGTCACACGCATTCGTCCTGGCGAGCGCTGCGAGCCGTAGGAGATGGTATCTATCGGTCCGCGTGACAACCGCGGTTAACATCGGCGAACACTCGCACCGACATTCCCGCTCTGCAAGTCGCCCGGCTGCAGCCTGGCTGTAGTCTTGTAGTCTGACGACTCAATCGTGGCGATGGATGGAGCTCGTTTCAATGACGAACTAGAAGATTTACCTCGAGTTAAGGTCCTTTGCACCCCCCGTCTCTCCGGCCGGTGAGACCTTGTGGGCGGGTGGATCTGTGCACCATAATACTAAAATTCGTAGTTTAACTTAAAAAGTTTGATTGCAAATGTCTTTCATAGATTACATTAATTGAAAAACACGGGCGCGGGGCTAGCACCTGAGAAAAACTGCCCATTAAACGGCACATTGAGTGACTTAACCGACGAAAAATTTTATACAGTCCCAACTAAGTTTTCAAGCAGATGACCTTACATATACATTTCCGCATGCTCTCTGATCCTGGTTTCTTCTGACAAGAGCCGCAAATGTCATAGAAATCTGAAAATTTTCACCTTTTTAATATACATTAAGACATTTGTAATACCTACCAATTTTGTTTCTCAATCTTCACTGCGGAAAATTTCAGGTATTTTGATCTCTAGCCTCTCGCGTTCGGCTCGATTTCGTGACTCATCCGATGCGCCTGTGAGGCTTCCTAAGTGAAGTGCGGTTTGAGCCCCGAACACACCTTGTGGCCGCGAACAACGGTGTCGCCGCAAATCGACGGAAATTCGGTTTCCGACCCTCCTCTCCCGCTTTATAGACGTTCGGTCGTTTATTTCGTAAATCTGCCACCGAAGTGGGCTGCAATGCGACGGGATTCTGCTATTTTTTATAATCTATTTTTTTGGCGTGTCGTCGGGCTTGTCAAGTCTCTCCCCCCGCCCCCTTTTCCAAATGAACTACAGTGAGCAAACAGCAAGCCGGAAAGCTAAATTATAAAGCTTGCATTCATCTTAATTAAGTGTCCTTATTTTTCCCTCTTGGAAAGCGGCTTTCTGTTTACTGCGTTCTTTGTGCAGTCTCTCGGCCGCCGTGCCTCGCGAGTCGCCTAAACAGATGAGCATCTCCAAAATCGCGCTCTATTTCTTACGCCCTGTGTGTGGTGTGTGTATGTATGTGTGTGGTGCGTGTGTGTGTGTGTGTGTGCGCGCCGCCGGCGAGACGTGGCGTTATGGCGTGTGCCTTGAGCGTGAATCCGGCCTGCCCGAAGCAACTCCTCTTCCCCCTCCCTCCTGTCCCCTCTCTCCCCCCCCTCTCTCTCTCTCTCTCCTCTCGCCCCCACCCCTCCCCTTCTCCAACTGCCCTCTCGCTTCGCCGATTCCTTTGACTAGGAGAGGAGAGCCTTCCTCTCCACCTACGCGTCGACCAGCGGAGAGGGAAAGAAAAGGAAGGGGGGGGGGCAGAGAAACTGAAAAAACAAAGGTAGATCTCTGTGAATTTTAAAGGTTCTCAAAAGTCGTCATAGTCACTTTGCACCTTGGGTATTTCGGAGGGCCTCGTTCCTGAATACTAATTGCCTCTGCAAGGGCTAAAAATCATTATCACCTCTCCCAGAAGGGTGCACGGTAAAAACAGTTTCTTGTTTTTCAAGATACGGTTTGGATACCATTGGCGTTCTCCGCGCTTAAGATCCAAGACTGGCTCTTGAAATACAAGAAACTTATTTTAACGTGTGCTGATTGTCTGTACCTTTGGTTTTTGCAGTGGAGAGAGTGATACACAGACACAGAGAGAGAGACAGTCTGCCTGGAGCGCCCTGCAGGTAGCTGTATAGCGTGGCCGTGTCGCGGAGTGATTGCCGCTAGTTTATAACGCCGGGGCCGTATGGACCGCGACTGTGGGATCGGTCCCGCCATCACTTTCTTCCCATGATTCACCCATACTGCCGGACGACCGGGGCAACGAGTCTTCCCGCCTCATACGCCTCATGTCAGCAGCTTCACGGGATTCCGTCACTTTGGACGGCGATAACTATACAGTATACACCGTCGGTGCTGCGGTGAAGGACCTACCCCGCGGCGTCGTCGCGGAAGTTGACGTAAACCACTGCACTGTTGTAGGTGTGGCCTTGTGCACATCTGATTAAAACAGAACTTACTCCAGGTTCCAAAAAAATGTATGGCATTTTTACCTAGTCTCGGAAAACTTGTACCTCCTTCAAGACAAATCTGAAATCTGCATCTAATGAAGATGAAATCAAGGGAAGGACAATCTCTAACCTATGTACAAAGATCCCCCCCCCCCCCAAATTTAGTGTGTGGTGACTAGGGACTTTTTTAAGGACGAATATTTACATTCCTATAATTGTCCCTTGCCATCTAGAGTGTATCGTGATTCCTCCAGCACATTCGTGGCTGGCTGCGCCGCCGCCGCGGCGCTGCGCTGGGTGGGACCTGGGACCTGCCGCCGTTGCCGACGCCAACTCCCGTCCGGACCCCACCCAGGAGTCTACCGGAGCCGCGCAGAGCCCGACTTCCGGCGGACGTCAACCGGAGCAGCAGCGGCTGGGGCGGGGTGCGGTGGGCGGTGGGGTGCGGAGAGCGCCGGGGAGTGCCGGGCAGGGGACGGGCGGCGCGTCGCGTCGGGGCGAGCAAGGTGTACGCGACTCATGCGTAGCGGGAGAGGGGAAGTAAAGGCGGAAAAGAATGGGGGGGGGGGTCGGGTAGGATGGGGCGAACAGCTGTTGTTTGGACGCGTCAAGTGAAGTGAGTTTTTGTCGAGAGGCATGCATCTGCTGTGCTTTTCGAGGGAAAATTATCTGGAGACATTTGCGGCTGTTTTGCGATGTCCAACAAGGCTTCTGCCCTGCTAGCTGAGTGTGTTTAAGCTCAGCTCCATTCAAAAACATCGGCCCACACTGGAGAAGACTGGGACTGGACGTCATATTTTAGTTACAAACTATCTAAGTAATTTAGCCGTGGTTGCCGAATGTTTTACTCGATGCGTGCCTAAAAATAACCCGTCTTAAAATACGATGGCGTAGCTACGAATTGCACTGTTTTTCCGCACTGCTTGGGACTGGGACGCCAGCCTATGGCAGCTAAACCAATGAGCGGTCCCGTGTCCCGTCCAAGAGTGGCTCCAAACCTCAAAGGTTGGAGTCCACCCCCCCCCCCTCCCCACCTCTCTTTTCGCGCCGCAGCGCTGCGACACAGTCTCTCTGTCTGTGTTAGTCGATCACTAATTGCAACTGATTGTCAGCTGCACCGTTGTCTCCGGCCGAACTGTTCTGGAAGTCGCTCCAGTTCTCCTTCCAGCTCAACACCGCTGCTGGAGGTGCTGGAGAGAGCAAAGCGATCAGAGCCATGAGGCGTATTGTTCTGCACAGTGCACTTTTGTCGTTTTTAAAGTTATTCGATTCCAGTTTTTCGATCGATCGATAACAATTATTGCAATATTCATGTACGTACCTCCAAAAGTAATTTGGAATTTGGAAGTAATTTTCGAACTTCCCTTTTCCGTGCCGTGTTCGTTTTATTATTAACAATAAGAAGATGTGTTTCAGTGAATGGGGGAGTAGGCCGCGTGCGGAGCGGAGCGGTACGGCCCTAATGACCATCGATCCACTTACCCGCCGTCTTTTTAATTTTGGGAACCGCCATGACTCTGCATAGAGTCCCTCTTGATGTCCGATTTTGTGATTACCCCCCCC